TTCCCCAGATATTGGCATGGTCTACTCCCCTCATTTCCTCCAAGCTTTGTTCAAGTACCATCCTACTCAATGAGGCCTACCCTGACCATCATATTTAAAACTGCAACCCAGCTCTGGCTGCTGTGGCTCAGTTGGTTGGCATGTCAGCCCATAACCAAAAGATTGCAGGTTTGATTCCCGGGCAGGACAGACATCTAGGCTGTGGGTGTGTATGGGAGGCGATGCTCCTCTCTCCCATAGATGTTTCTCATCCTAACTCTCTCTCTTCTTTTCTCTCTCTGAAAGCAGCCCTCTGGTGAGGATAAAAATAAAATAAAATAAAATAAAATTGCAACCCATTCTTCCCTGTACATTGCTCTCTATATTAATTTGTTTATTTATTCTATCATTTCTCCCTTTACTATAATGTCAGCTTCATTAAAATAAGTATTTTTAAAAATCTGTTTTGTTCACTGATTTTTCTCATTCACCCAGAACATTTCCTGCCACTTAGAAGGAATTCAATAAATATTTGTCCAATAAATGAATGTTTTTTGCACTGAATTTTCTACTTCCTTTCTCCAAGTTTAACCTGTCTTTCTTTCTTTCCTTCTTTTTTTTTGTATAATTTATTTTTCTTAGAACCTGGATACAATTAACTGTAACAATATGGTGCTTAACACTATGTAAGCCTCATTTTAAGTTCTCTAAACTGCCTCAGTATTTGTAAACATGAATTCACATTCCAGTAAAACTAGAAAACTAAAATTTGACATACTAACAAATTTACCCAGTATTGATGTAACTATGAAATTTTATATGTAACAAGTAGACTTTAACAGAATTTGGCCTTTTAAAACTAGCTTATGATAAACGAAGTTGTTCTTTGCTTATCTGTCCTAACCTATTCACTGTTACACAACAGACCCCCCTCTCATAGCTTTTATTATGTAAACAGATTCCTCTCCTTTGGACAGAATGAAAAAAACAAAAAACAAAATTCTCACCCAGAAAAAAACGTTAACAGACTTATCCAGTTCTAAAGTATCAGCATGAATGGAACTGGAGAGCATTAAGCTAAGTGAAATAAGCCAGGGGACAAAAGACAAATACCGTATGATCTCACCTATAAGTGGAACCTAACCAACAAAACAAACAAGCAAGGAAAATATAACCAGCAACACTGAAAGAAAAAAGACACCAACAGAGTCAAGAGGGAAGGGAGGGTACGGGGAAACAGAAGGGAAGGGTCAAGTTAAGGAACTTGTATAAAGGATCCATGAACAAAGCCAAAGTAGGGCAGGATTCAGGGAGGGAGGTGGGGTGGAGGACAGGGGAAAGTGGTGGCAGGAAGGTGGAGACAAATGTATTTGAACAAAAAATAAAAATTAAAAAAAAGAAAGAAAGAAAATGAAAGGCCAAGAACCTAGAGTCAGGAAGAAGCCTGTCTCAGGTTTAATCAAGCTGTGTTGTGTGTGCATGTTCTTCAGCCCCATTTGTTTGCCTGGATTCAGGCTCCAAGCAGGCAGAGAATTGGATTTAACCAGGGTGGTTATTTTGCCAAGGAAAGATGAGCGGCTGAAGGAGAGTTTAGGGAGTTGAGGGTGCATTTGAAGAAAGGATTATAGTGATTAACCTCGGAATTCAAACTGGGCAGGGAGGATGGGAGTCTTGGAAGGAGCAAGGGCCAGAGAGAGATTGTAGGATCAATGAATTTTAGCTTCATGAAGAATTTTTGAAGTTGTGCTAAAATCGAGGTGAACCGGAAAGACACTGAAAGTGTTTTTGTCTCCAGGTACTAACTATACCAGCAATTCTATAATCTGCAGCATTTTAAAGGTACATATACACAAAGTCTAAATGTGAGGCTTATCGGAGTGAATTTCCTTGTGAATTATTGGTTTCCCTCATCTTATATCTGAATACAAAATAAAGGAGAAGTCACATTTGATTCCTACATTCAAGTATAAAACATTCGTGGAAAAAAACACTGGCTGTATTTCTCTTGGAATGTGTTGATTATTGTACCTGAAACCTCTTTAATGTAAAACTGCTTTTCTTGTTTCTTTGCTTTTTTGCTTTCCTTATTGAATACACTGAAGAACTCTCAAAAAAAAAAAAAAAGTATCAGCAGATATAACACCAGAAATGGGTTACTTTTACTTAAGTAGTATAATAGAAAGTTACAGTGTTGACCAAAAGAAGACACAGGTTTAAGGTTGTGGGTTTGACTCCCCATCCAGTCAGGGCACATATAAGAGTCAACAAATGAATGCGTAAATAAGTAGAAAGACAAACTGATGTTTCTCTCTCTTTCTCCCTCTCTTTCTAAAATTAACAAATAAAAAAAAAAAAACCCACACAGGTTTCTCATTAAACTTTGTTTTAATGCGTCTCAAAATTCTGTGACAGATTTTTGGTCAAGTTGTTTCCATTAAAAAGTACTGATTTTAAAAACTAGTAAGTTAATAATTGCCACACACACACACACACACACACACACACACAACAAATGGTCCACAAAATATTCTCCTTTCCTTATAAAGGTTTTATGATACATTGTAATAATTATCCAGTCTTCTACTATTGAGACAAACAGTTCTGAGGCTGTTCTTCCACCACTAAGACTGGGGTGGCCTGTATTGGGGATAATATTCATTTAGCCTTTTGAGCTTTCTGGGCAGACTTGGCGACTTTGCCAGTTCCAGCTGCCTTCTTGTCCATTGTTTTGATGAAACCCACAGTAACTGTCCCACATCATGAACAGTAAACAGCAACACACATGGGCTTGCCAGGAACCATATCAATGTTGGCAGCATCACCAGATTTCAAAAACTTTGAGCCATCTTCCAGCTTTTCCCCAGAATGATGATCAACCTTCTCCTTCATCTCAGCAAATTTGTAAGCAATATGAGCTGTGTGACAATGGAGCACAGGTGCATATCCAGCACTGATTTGGCCTGGATGGATCAAGATAATCACCTGAGCTGTGAAGCCGGTTGCTTCCATTGGTGGGTAATTTTTGTTGTCACCAGTCACATTGACACTAGAGAGAAACACATTTGTCAGACACGTTCTTGACACTGAAGCCCTCATTGTCCCCAGGAAGAGCTCCACTCAAAGCTTTGTGGTGCATTTCAGTAGACATTACTTAAGTTGTAATGTTGACTAGAGCAAAGGTCACTACCACTACCATGTCTGGTTTGAGAACACCAGTCTCCACTTGGCCTACAGGGACAGTGCCAATACCACCAATTTTGTAGACATCCTGGAGGGGAGGACACAGGAACTTGTCAGTTGGACGAGTTGGCGGTAGGATGCAATCCAGAGCTTCAAGCAGCGTGGTTCCACTGGCATTACTATCTTTATGGGTGATTTTCCATCCCTTGGTTCCAGCATGTTGTCACCATTCAAACCAGAAATTCGCACAAATACTGCTGTAGTCAGGGTTGTAGCCAATTTTCTTAATGTAGGTGCTGACTTCTTTAACAATTTTCTCATATCTCTTTTGGCTGTAGGGTGGTTCAGTGGAATCCATTTTGTTAACACCAATAATTAATGTTTCACATGCAGTATGTAAGCCAGAAGAGCATGCTGATGGGTCTGCCCATTCTTGGAGATACCTGCTTTAAATTTACTAATACCACCAGCAAGAATCAGGATAGCACAGTGAGCCTGAGATGTGCTTGTAATCATGTTTTTGACAGTCTCTGTGTCCTAGGGCATCAAGGATGGTCACATAATACTTGCTGGTCTCAAATTTCCACAGGGTGATATCAATGGTGATACCATTACACTCATATTTAACTTTCAATTGATCCAAGACCCAAACATACTTGAAGGAGACTTTGCCCATCTCAGCGGTCTCCTCAATGTTTTTTGATGGTTCTTTAGTCAATCCCACCACATTTGTAGATCGGATGGCCAGTAGTGGTAGATTTGCTGGAATCTACGTGCCCAGTGACGGCAATGTTGATATGAATCTTTTCCTTTCCCATTTTGGCTTTGATTTAGTGGTGGTTTTTTACCACACCTGCGTTCTGGGGCAAACCTGTTGTAAAAAAAGTTTCAACGTTTCTTTTATCCAACTTATTTTCCTTCCACCTATACTGTTCTTCATGTTCATATAGAGATTTTTTAAAAAGATTTTATTTATTTATCTTTGTAGAGAGGGGAAGGGAGGGAGAAAGAGAGGGAAAGGAACATCGTTGTGAGAAACATCAATAGGTTGCCTCTCGCACGAGCCTTGACTGGGGATGGAATCTGCAATCCACGCAAGCGTCCTGACCGGGAGTCTAACCGATGACCTTTCACCTTCTGGTAAAATGCCCAACCAACTGAGCCACACCGGTCAGGGCCATACACTAATTTTTATTTTCTTTTTGGCTGGGTGTGTAGGGCCTTTTAATTAGGGAAATGGGATCATATAATACCCATCACTCAGCCACCCATTTTTTCACCTAACAGTACTAGGACAATAGTTACAGATCCTACATTCTCTTTAATGCTTGCATAACGTTCCGTCGGATGTACGGGTACACTACTTTTTCACTCCCTCCACCTTGGACCAGCCCATTCCAGGTCGCTCTCATTTTTCCTTTCAGGTAGCGTCATTTACCCATTCATCTCGTACCCAGCAATCCCCGGAACACAGTGATCACTCAATAAGTATTTGGAGCTCCGCTGGTCTATTTTAGATAGCGGTTAGCTGGGTGCATTCTTTGAGAAGGAAGGATTGAAGGGACACGAGAGGATTCTAGTGAAGAAATAAGGTGTTTCATCCGAACGGATGGAAAGGAAGGAGAGCTGGATGATCTTCCTTTGGTCCCTTTGGTGTCTCCCTGAAGCAGGGGAGGTCTGGAGAGGGCAGGCAGGCTTGGCGAATCAAGTGGACCAAAGTTCAGCGCTTTTGGAGGATACTTGGACCTAGGGTGTCAGAAGCGGGAGTTGGCAAGGGGCTGACTTGGGAGGTGCTCGGAGGAGGCGCGGCCGGTAGGGGGCGGGGCGAGCGGAGCGCGCAGTTGCGCAGTAGCGGGCGTGAAAGGCAGGCGGGCGCTCCAGATCTCCAGAGTCCTGAGTTCTTGGAGATATGAGGCGCGCATCCCGGGAGCTCGTCTCTCCGCTTCTGGTCCTGGGGTTGCTGCTGTGCAGCTGCGTGTGCCCCGGGATCACTGAGCTACGGGCCCCGCCTGATAAGATCGGTAGGTGACAGTGGGGCGCCGCGGAAGGAGATGCAGGAGCGCTCCCTGCTCCTGGCGGCCGCAGCGTAGGGTGCCAGGCCCTGCAGCCGCGACGCGGGACAGGCCGCGGGGTCGAGCCCTTTGCGCAGGTTTCGATCTTCCCGGTTTGCGTCTCAGTGCTGCTTTCGGTGCCCGAGGGACCGTGCCTTCCTGGGCGTGGAGATGTGTCCACTTGAGGAATGGGCCATGGAAGGGGGGGCCCAGGTGGGCGGGCAGCTTCCAGGCGTCCTTGCAGACCCTGCCTCAGAAGGCTGGTGGTAGGGGGAGACCGAGCCCCATCTAGCCGCCTTCCTCTGCAGTACCTTTGGGAGGCCAGTCTTCTGGTTGGTCCTGGAGCGACGGGCCGCTTACGCTCTGCAGATGACAGGCACATGCGGGCTCGGCACAACGAGCAGTGGAAGACTGGCTGATCCCGTCCGCTTTCCTCGATAGGGTGAAACCGCCTTTCCCTTTTCCGCTTTGTTGCGGTTGGCCTGCCCTCAGAGGCCCCTGGCTGGCACGGTTTGCCTGCCTAGGGTTACTACAGAACTGAAATAATCCACTCTTTTCCTAGTTTCAGTCTTTTTTTGTTTTGCTTCCTGTTTTTTTTGCTTTGTTTCTTATTTCCTTTAAAACTGTTCTTTGGGATTATTAACCTGTCTACACTAATGAAATAACACATCTAGGCAAAAATGGCGACCGCCTCATTTAAAATGCTGCTGGAAAGACTCACCTCCTCAGTTCCCAAGAGGAGGCTGGGCAAGTTGGGCAAGACTCATTGCTGCCTCCACAAAGAACTGTTAGAATCTTTGGGCATCTGGCAAAAACAAAAACAAAAAAACCCCAAATAATTAATGTAAATTTTTAAGTTAATTTACTGCCACTGTTGTCTGGGGGCAATGTTTACATGCAGATTCAGAGTTGCATCTTCACAGCAACTGTCACTGGCCTACCCCATGTAGGCCTCCCTAAACTGTTGATAGTAGCCTTAAGTAACATCTGCTATTGCTTAATGGCTTTTCAAAAACAGTAAAACACACAAAGCTGGTAAAAGGGAAAGAAACTGTTCCTTTTTTTCCCCTCCATAGCAATAATTGGAGCTGGAATTGGTGGCACTTCAGCAGCCTATTATCTTCGGCAGAAATTTGGGAAAGATGTGAAGATTGATGTGTTTGAAAGAGGCCAGGTGGGGGGCCGCCTGGCCACCATGACTGTGCAGGGGCAAGAATATGAAGCAGGAGGTTCTGTCATCCATCCTTTAAATCTGCACATGAAGCGTTTTGTCAAGGATCTGGGTATGTAATTTGGTCTTAGAGCTATGCAGCTTTCTATGTGACCACCATGAATATTTTTGTCAGATAGGGGGCTGAAACTTTTCCACCTTGCTAATTGTCTTTTACAGACAAGTTGGTAAAACTAGTTTCCTTACTTTCCTTCTAGAAGTTGGTACTGCCATAGTTAGGAGGCACTCTCCTGTAATGGGACACTAGTTATCAGTATCTTCAGTTATCTGGAATTACAGCCATGGGGTTGGGGTGGGGTGGGGATGGTTGCTGTTGTCAGTCCTTCAACCTGAGGGTTTCTGTTGAACCATAGAATGGCTTGAGTTAGCAGAAACCTAATGTGCTCATTTTTTGGTTGGGGAAATGAGGCCCAGAGGCTTGAAGTGTTTGGCTTAACGTTACTCACACAGCTGTGGGTACATGTGCTTAGAAGTTGGGACATCTGACTGACTACTTCCCTACCTGCAGAGGAGCTGGATAGGTTGTGAGGAAATTTGGCAGGCCTTTGCAGGCCCTTTCCTTAAGGAATATTGGGTAATATTGGCCTCCTTCCAGTTATCTGAAATATCCAGTTATACAAAACAATATTGGCACAGGAGTAGGGTGCCTCCTTTCCCTTAGCTGCCTTCCATGTCTCCTGTGGATACTTCCTAAGCCACTCTTTTCTCCATGAGGGCAAGTGTATGTCAGGAGAAATTTATGCTGCAAAGATTCATGTCTGACATTTCTCCTTTTAAATTGGATTCAGTTGGTACTCTGCTTTTGTCTTTGATTTTTTAGTCACTTTGGACTAAATATAGCCTGTCTGATTTTGATATATCTGCATGATCCATCTGACTCATCTTTTAGAGAATCTGCTTTTGGACAGTATAGTGATTGTCTAGTGTATTGTGCCAGTATTCTAAAAATAGAGATTAATATGTCTCCTAAGAACTGGGAGAGGCTTGGAGTTCACTCACTTTAGAGTATCCCCACTAGCTTGAGATTACCTTCTTTCATTTGATCAGTGTAGGAACTACTGACTTAGCTACCCCTTCTCTGTTTTTGCAGGTCTTTCTACTGTCCAGAGTTCTGGAGGCCTAGTGGGGGTCTCTAACGGAGAGACTCTGGTGTTTGAGGAGAGCAGCTGGTTTATAATTAACATAATTAAATTAATTTGGCAGTATGGATTTCAGCCTCTTCGTTTGCACATGTGGGTAGAGGATATACTTGACAAGTTTATGAGGTAATTTTTTTCTCCTATTTAACCTAAGACTTTTCAGTTAGATAATCTGTAAGAATTATAGTTTCTTGGAACAGTTCTCTACCTAACTGCAAGATAAGTTTGTTAGGCAAAATGTTTTATATAAAATATGCAGACCATTTATCTAGTTGGAAATTGAAAGGGTAGTTTATTTTCGTTTCTGAACATGTATTTTGCAAATGCTTGCTTAGTGTTGCTAGATACTCTTAAATGATCTACAAATATTAACTTCTTGAATTCTCATGACAACTCTCTAGGTAGATACTTTTCATTAGCTTTTTTTTACAGATGTGGAAGGTGAAGGCATGGAGAAGTTTCAAGTGTGCAAGTATACCCACCTGTTAAGTGGTAGAGCCAGAGTTCCTACCCAGGCAGGCTGACTCTAGAGTCCTCACTGCTAAATCTCTGCACTGTGCTGACATTGTGTATCAGGGGAATGAGGTCATGTGCACAAGAGCTTGTAAACAGGATAAGAAAAATGAGCTTTAATTGCAACATGATGTTTTAATGAGCCAGTAACATGAGGTAGAGTATCAGTTCTATGCCCTAAGAATTTAAATTAAGATATTAAATTCCAGCATTGTTCTGGGCAGTGACAGTACAGGTGACTCTTTTTCTTTATGCTTTTCAAAATTGTTTATGTGTCTGAGTGTGCTTTGCTTTGGTAACTAAGTATGATCACATAAAATAACCAGTCTTAACTTGAAAAATGCAACCTACTTTTTAAAAAGATTTTATTTATTTATTTTCAGAGAGAGGGGAAGGGAGGGAGGAGAGGGAGAGAAACATCAGTTAGTTGCTTCTTGCACACCCCAACTGGGGATCTGGCCTGCAACCCAGTGCCTTGACTGCGAATTGAACCGGTGACCTTTTGGTTCACAGGCTGGCACCTAATCCACTGAGCCACACCTATTTTTTATTTATTTTTAATTTTTACTTACTGATTTTAGAGGGAGAGGGCAAGGGGGATGGGGAGAGAGACAGACAGACATCGGTTTATTGTTCCACTTATTTATGCATTCATTGGTTGCTTCTTGTATGTGCTCTGACTAGGGGTGGAACCACAACCTTGGCATATAGGGATGATGCTCTGGCAAACTGAGCTACCTGGCCAGAACTGGTTTACTATTTTAGATACTGCAGATAATTCAACTTGTAAATGTTATTAATATTTCATTACTATGACTGTTCCAATGTAAAGGTAAAATTACATGTGCCTGTTATGTGCCAGGTACTGTTCTAGGTCCTGATGATGTACAACCTCGAACATGTGCCTGCCCTCAAAAAATAAAATATACATTCTAGTAGAGAGACAAACAATAAACTGATTACTAAGAAAGTATATAGAGGCCTGGGGACCTGGGGCTGTGGACGGGAGGTGGGAGGTTAGAGAAGGGGATGGGGCAGGAACGCCACAGTGTGTAGGGCACAGGGAGGAGGAGGAGGGAGACACCGTGCACACACGCACACGTAGGACAAGATGGCCAGAGACGCAGCAGCACCCTGAGCTGTCAGGTGTTCCGCAGCCATCATGGGATCCACTGTATGGTGGGGGTTGTGCCCAGGTGGGCCCGCCGGCTTGCTGGGATGAGATTCCATGGCAGAATCTCCTGAAACGTGCCCTCGCTGCTCGATCTGACCCCATGCATGTCTGCAGGTGGTGTGAAATTCTGTCAGGGTGGCCTTGAGATGCTGGCAGCTGTGTTCGGACCTGGTAACTTACAAGCTTAAAATTAAATTTGACTGATGATGGTTCTGACCAAGTACAGCCCTTTATTTGAGATAAACCATTTTAAAGACTGAGACTGTGTAGTTCTATATTTGAGGATAAAGAAAATCTTTGCAAAAGTCTGTATTTTATATAGTAAAAATGTGACTCTTGAGACAATTTCTAAAGGGCCTGTGCAAGGTAATGGGTTGGTGGAAGCATTTACACCCAGTCAGCTTGAAGAGTCTCAGATGGACCCTACCACTGATAAACCAAGATCGCAGTCCACTATGGGGAATAGAGGAAAATGGGTTAATACCATGGTGCTGTGATAATGTACAACCAAGACAGAATTCTTTTTGTTTTTTTAAGATTTTATTTATTTGACTTCTAGTCAAGATGGAGGCATAGGTAAACGTTTTTTGCCTTCTTGAACAACAATAGGAGAAATTACAACTTACTACAAAACAAATATTACCCAAAGTAGTCAGAAAATTGAGCTGTATGGAAGTCTGACAACCAAGGATTTAAAGAAGCCACATTCATTCAGTGGCTAGGAAGGGTGGAGATGCAGAGTTGTGCAGAGAGACGCGGAGATGCGGAAAGGGTGGTCCCACATCCACATGTGGTACATAAAAAATCAGGAAGAATACCTTAGGAGTGAAGGATCGCAGCCCCAGACCAGACCACCTAGGGTTCCAGTGCCAGAAAAATAAGTCCCCATAAATTCTGTCTATAAAAAACAGTGGGGGTTGGGGTGGTGGAAAAAACTATGGGATTCTTAGGTGACTCCTCTTAAATGGCCTGTGACAGACTTAGGACTTTCAGACCCCATGGAATTCAGCACCAGTGCAATAGCTGGAAGGGCACCAGTGGCATATGGGGAGAAATTGAAGTGACTGGCACCAGAGTGAGTACTGGAGACAGCTTCCTCTGGGCAAAACTCCAGAGGCCAGGCAGTGGCACTGTCCCCTCTCTGAGCCCTCTCCGACTCAGAGCAACAGAACAGTAAAACAGGTTGACCTGCCCTGGTGATTACCTAAGGCTCTGCCCCACCAAACTTACAGGCGTGCTTTTCTACAATAGGCCACACTACTAAGACAGGAAGTTAAAGCACATCTACTTAATACACAGATATGAACACAGAAAGCCTGCCAAAATAACACGAAGAAATATGGCCCAAATGAAAGAATAGAGCAGAACTCCAGAAAAACTAAACAAAATGGAGATAAGCAAACTTTCAGAGATGCAGAGTTCAAAACGGTGGTTATCAGGATGCTCTATGGACTCACTGGGTACTTCAACAGCATGAAAAAGATCCAGACAGAAATGAAAATTACATTAAGTAAAATAAAAAAAAAATCTATAGGGAACCAACAGTGGAGTATATGAAGCTGAGAATCAAATCAATGATTTGGAACATAAGGAAAAAGCATTCAATCAGAACAGCAAGTAGAAAGAAATTCAAAAGAATGAGGATAGAAAAAGGAGCCTCTGGGATATCTTCGAACATACCAGCACCTGAATCATAGGGATGCCAGAAGAAGAGGAAGAGCAAGAAATTAAGCACTTATTTGAAAAAATAATGAAAGAAAACGTTCCTAATTTGATGAAGGAAATAGACATACAAGTCCAGGAAGCACAAAGAGTCCCAAACAAGATGGATGCAATGAGGACCACACCAAGTCACATCATAGTTAAAATGCTAAAGCTTAAAGATAAAGAAAGAATCTTAAAAGCAGCAAGAGAAAAGCAGGTAGTTACCTATAGGGGAATTCCCAGAAGATTGTCAGCTGATTTCTCAAAAGAAACTTTGCAAGCTAGAAGGGTCTGGCAAGAAGTATTCTAAGTGATGAAAAGCAGGGTCTTACAACCTAGATTACTCTATCCAGCAAAGCTATCACTTAGAGTTGAAGGGCAGATAACTTGCTTCTTGGACAAGGTAAACTAAAGGAGTTCATCATCACCAAGTCTTTATTGTATGAAATGTTTAAGGGACTTACTTAAGAAAAATAAGAAAATCAAAACTAAGAACATTAAAATGGCAGTAAGTTCACAGCTATCAACAATTGAATCTAAAAAACAAACTAAGTAAACAAACAGAACAGAAACAGAATCATAGATTTGGAGATCATTTGGAGGGTTATCAGTTGGGAGGGGAAAGGGAAAGATTGGGGAAAAGGCGCAAGGATTAAGAAGTATGAGTTAGTACGTACAAAATAGATGGAGATGTTAAGAAGAGTATAGGAAATGGAATAGACAAAGAACTTACATGCATGACCCATGGACATGAACTAAGGGGGGAATTGCTGGAGGGAATGGGGGTACTGGGTGGAGTGGGCAAAGGGGAAAAATTGGCACAACTGTAATAACATAATCAATATTTAACAATTTTTTTCATTTATTTATTTTTAGAGAGAGGGGACGGGAGGGAGAAATAGAGGGAGAGAAACATCCATCAAGTTGCCTCTCCTACATGCCCTGGCTGGGACTGAACCCGGAACTTCGGCATGTTCCCTGAGCAGGAATCGAAACCTGGACCTTTCTGTTGAGGCCCAGCCAACTGAGCTACACCAGCCAGGGCAAGACAGGATCCTTTTAACATAGATTTTATGAAATGACTAAAGATAATAGATTTCTTACCTATTATAAATGGACAGTGAATTTGACTTCCTAAAGACTTTTTGTGTCATTAAAAGAAGTCCATTTTTGACATTTGATGATGAAAAATGGCATGTTAACAGATGAGAGTCTGTATGCCTGGAGTTTTTTTTTTGTTTGTTTTTGTTTTTTTTTGGTTGATTTGTATGAATATAACCTTGTAGAATGTTAACTCCCAATAAAATTTCTAACTATTTTATCTTTTTCTTAATACTAGAGACAGACAGACAGACAGACAGATGTTGATTTGTTGTTCCATGTATTTATGCTTCATTGGTTGCTTCTTGTATGTGCTCTGACCTGGATCGAACAGCAACATTGGCGTATCCAGATATCCCTCTAAACTAACTGAGCTACCTGCCCAGAACAAAACTTCTAACACCTGAAGGAAAAAGAAAGAGCCCTGGCTGGGTTTTTCAGTTGATTGGTGCATTACCCCTGTACACTGCAAGGTTGTGGGTTTGATTCCTGGGTTTGAATTCTGGTTGAGGTAAGAATGAGAGGCAACCCATTAATGTTTCTCTCTCTCTCTCTCTTCCCCCCTTCAGCCTCCCTTCTTCTCTCTCTAAAATCAATAAACATATTCTTAGGTGAAGATTAAAAAAAAGAAAAGAACATATAGAATTTGTGTAGAGATGGGCAGTTGCTTTTTAAGGAAGGTAGATGGCATGTTGCTGCATACTCACCAGGAAAACCCAGGTCCAATGGCATCAGACCATCTGTATGTATCATTTTCTTTTGCTACCTGGCCAGGGCCATGTATCATTTTCTTTTCTGTGGTTTGCTTGACATATAGAGAATTGCCCTTTGAAAAATTAAAAAAATCACTTTTTACGTGGATTTAGGGTATTGCAGAACTATCAAAAAAGACCCAGTGAGGGGATATATAGATTATACTACTTTTAAAGAAGATTTTATTTATTTATTTTTAGAGAGGGGAAGAAAGGGAGAAAGAGAGGGATAGAAACATCTGTGTGAGAAACATTGATCAGTTGCCTATTTGACATACCCCAACAGGGGACCGAACCTGCAACCCAGGAATGTGCCCTGACCAGGAATTGAACTAGTAGTCTTGCTGGACGACTACTCCAGCCCAACCATCTGAGCCATGCTGCTCAAGGCTAGATTATACTATTTTTATTTTAAAAAACAATTCTCAAGTGTATGTCTTCCTGGTGGACTAATCCTTATCATTGCAAAATATCCTCTTTTGTCTATAGTAACAATTTTTAGATTTTTAAAAATTTACTTATTGATTTGAAGAGGGAAAGAGAGGAAAGTAGGGGGAGAGAGATTGGTTTTTATTGTTCTACCGATTTTATGCCTTCATTGGTTGTTGCTTGACTGGGGATAGAACCTGAAACCTTTTGGTGTATGGGATGATGCTCCAACCAACTGAGCCACATTGGCCAGGGCTAAAATCTATTATTAAAAAAAAAAAAGTCAGAAAAAATAAGTTGGGAATGTAATTAGGAAGCAGCACTATGCAAGGTGATTGTTTTGAATATAAGAGATACTATAGAACTTCTTGGAGATTTATTAAAAGGAATGAGAAGCAGGTATATCAGTTACTCATTTTAGTAATTCGAATATAATCCTGACTCAAGATCAGGAAAATGAGAATGAAGTAACCAGAGAGATGTTAGAAAGATTGCTACGGTTTCCTTCTTGGGTGGGAGAAGCAGAAAGGAGAAGTGAAAATATTTGTTTGAAACTGAGTGAACTGAGGATGTCAGATGTGACTTGTCATTTTTGTTTGGGATAGAGAGTGGGTGGAGAGGATCGAGTGTGATGAAAAGATAAAGATAATTTTCGTCTTGGCTGGTATGGCTCAGTGGTTTGAGTGCTGGCCTGTGAACCAAAAAGTTGCTGGTTTGATTCCTGGTCAGGGCACATGCCTGTATTGCAGGGTCAGTCCCTGATCAGGGTGCCCAGGGGGCAAGCGATCCATGTTTCTCTCGCACATCGATGTTTCTCTCCCTCTCCTTCTCCTTCCCTCCCCCCTCTCTAAAAAATAAAATCTTTTAAAAAATGCTATAATTTTAGACATGTCTGTGTTACTGAAAGATGAAAAGATGAATGTGAACAAGATGTACCCACATCTTTAAAGGTTTCCTTGTGACCATATTAATACAGAAGAGTGTATACAGTAAACTTCAAGTGGAGGTGGAGGGAGAGTGAGGGCTCAGAGCTTCTGGGATACCTGGGGAAGACGAAGGCTGAGGTCTCTCACATGATAATTAGGAACTCATCAGAAAGAAACATGAAAGTCAGTTTGAGTCATATGATGCTATTTCCCTTCCTTATGCATCCTCTTACCCCTATCTTGTTTGGTGTTTAATGGCCATTTCTTTTTTTCAAAAGGATCTACCGCTACCAGTCTCATGACTATGCCTTCAGTAGTATAGAAAATTTACTACATTCTCTAGGAGGGGACGACTTCCTTGGAATGTTTAACCGAACACTTCTTGAAACCTTGCAGAAAGCGGGCTTCTCTGAGAAATTCCTCAATGAAATGGTTGCTCCCATCAATAGGGTCAATTATGGCCAAGGCACAGACCTCAATGGCTTTGTAGGTAAGCCAAGGCTTGGAACAGTTTTAGAACTGGTTCACGGAGGGGCTTCCCTGATGTTATGGCGACTCCTGACCTAAACTACCTTTCTCTGTGAAACCTCAGACATTTTTGGTAAAATTGTGTAAATGTAGATGTGCCTTTTTGTGGGGAGAGAGTCCTTAGCTTTCATTAGTTGAGTGGTTCTCAACTGGGGGAGATTTTGTCCCCAGGGGCCATTTGACAATGTGTGGAGACATTTGGAGCAGGACTTACCTAATAGGGGAGGGAGTGGTTGGAGGGCCCCTTATAGAGTTAGAATCAAAACACATTTTTTTTTCCTGCTGCTGACAGGGGCAGTGTCACTATCTGGTGCTGATTCTGGCCTTTGGGCAGTAAAAGGTGGCAATAAACTTGTTTGCTCAGGGCTCCTTCAGGCTTCCAAAAGCAACCTTATATCTGGCTCAGTAATGTACGTAGAGGAGAAAACAAGGACCAAGCAGACAGGTGAGCTTGAATTTCTATTTTATGGTTCCTGATTTCCCCTGTAGAAAATAATTGCTCAGGGAGAAAAACCTGTCTTCCTCCATTTCTCACTCAGTTCCAAACGATGGAATTTTAAATTGTATATTTTGTGCCATGTAGAAATATTCCCAAATGTACTCAAGTACAGAGGCATGACTCCTTGGATTTAAAAAAATCTAATTCTCAAAAGTAAAAATTCCTTATTTTGTACTTATTGACAAGGTATTGTTTTTAAGTAGATAATTGGCCTCAATTTGGGACAGTTATCTTAAAAGATAAAGTCTTTTTTTATTTAAGAGAAAGGTTGAGGGCGAGGAGAGAAACATTGATTGTTGTTCCACTTATTTATGCTTTTATTGGTTGCTTCTAGAATATGCCCTGACTAGGGATCAAACCCACAACCATGGTGTATCAGGGTGATGCTCTGACCAACTGAGCTACCCAGCGAGAGCTTAAAGTCTTTAATATTTTAGGATTATAAACTACTAAAGTATAGAATTATTTTTAGGAGGTGTAAAATATAGTATGTTAGAAGCACTAAAGAAATGTATGCTTCCTTATTTCCTCTAGGAAACCCCACAAAGATGTATGAAATTGTCTACCAAACTGGATCTGACACCCATTCAAACTTTTATGACATCGTGTTGGTGGCCACTCCATTGAATCAAAAAATGTCCAATATAACTTTTCTCAACTTTGATCCTCCAATTGAGGAATTCCATCAATACTACCAACATATAGTGACAACTCTTATTAAGGGGAAGTTGAATTCAACTACTTTTACCTCTAGAGCCTTAGAGAAATTTGATCTCAGTACTATCTTAACCACTGATAATTCAGATTTGTTTATTAACAGCATTGGGATTGTGTCCTCTGTGAAAAATGACAATCCTCAACCATCAGCAGATGGAGCATATGTTTGGAAGATCTTTTCCCATGAAACTCTTACCAAAGAGCAAATTTTAAAGCTCTTTTTGTCCCACGAGTATGTTACAAAGCAGCAATGGCTAGCATATCCTCACTATAAGCCTCCAGAGAAAAGCCCCTCCATCATACTCCATGATCAGCTTTATTACCTGAATGGCATAGAGAGTGCAGCAAGTGCCATGGAAATGAGTGCCATTGCAGCCCACAATGCTGCTCTCCTTGCCTATCACCGTTGGAACGGGCACACAGACATGATTGATCAAGAGGACTTATATGAGAAACTGAAAACTGAACTGTGAAATAACACTTTTATTCCCCCCCAAACCCCTGTCCTAGTTCCAAATGGAATATCACTGGCAAAAAAACCCCACCACAATCTGAGCAGAGACGTTTTGAATCAAATATTTTGCCATTATCATTGTTTAACAAGAGTAACCCCAGTGAGTCATGAGAAAATACAAGGTCTAATTAAGTGTGAAGGTGTAACTATTGCATTTGTGCCATCTCCAAAATTCCTTCCTTCCTTCCTTTCTCTTTCCTTTCTTTTCTTTCCCCTCCCTCCCTCCCTTCTCCCTCCTCCCTCCCTTCTCTTTCTCTCTCTCTCTTTCTTTTTCTGATTTTAAGAGTATGTTAATTAAAGCTGGGGACAGTGAAACAAAGGAAGGGCTTAGGGTAGAATCACTACAGAAGAGAGCCTAGGTGGTGCTCTGCTTTGGTTCCCTAGAAATGTTATAGGAAAGAAATGGGCAGCAGTGGGGCTGCTGTTAGCTCACCGAGAAGTAAAAGTTACAGTGACAGCAAGGAGGCAAGGTGGTGCAGCTGTTAGCTCACCAAAAAGTCAGAGACGAGAGGCCTTGGAAACAGGTTCAGGGGGTTAGCCTGGGATGAGCTGCTGCTGCCCACTGCTCCCTTGGTTGCAAGTCTCTTTGGGACCATTAGACTTTAGGAGAGAAAAATAAAGATGCATGCCTGAGGGTGAAGGAAGTCATTCAGTTGCTCCAGAGAGAGCCTGCTCAAAATTTCTTAACTCTTAATATCTATCAACAGTATTTTCCAGACTTGTCTGATTGTGAGAATCATCTGGAATTTGTGAAACAGAATTCCCTAGCTCCTCTGGAGATTTTAGTTCAGTAGATTTAGAGGGTAGGCCCTGGATTTTGAACAAAACTTTAAAGCATTTTAAGCTGAACACTTGAGGAAGAGCTTAGACATATGTTTTAATTGGGGATGAGTTGATTTGTGCCTCACAGGTGGATGTGATCTTTAGTCACAGTGAAATCTACTATGGGAGCTGGTATCTTATGCCTGGCTTTAGTAATTCATTATTTTTAAAGTAAATATGCCCATGACTGAAGCCTTGACTTTTAGAATGTTCTTTTGATTACTTCTGTCTTTTAGGGATAAAGTTCAGAAGCCTGAGTAGTACAACCTTAAAATGTCATACAAAAATCTCCAGTAAAATGAAAAGCATATATAAGCTATTGATTGAAGAAACTGACATTCTATGAAGCTTTTAAAAATATTGATAGTCCCTGCACCCCCCATCAGATATTCTGATTAACTGGATTGAAGATAGGACCTCACCATCATAACTTTTTAAAGTTCTTAATGTGTGACCTGCATTGCAAATCACTGATTTGGAAGCATTCTAAAATGCTTCCAAAGAGTTTTCAGTACCTGAAGAGTCCCAAGAAATCCAACCCATTATCAAAGATTCATTTTGTGAAGAATGGCTTTTTTCTCAATGAGAACTCTAGTAGTAACCTTGATAGTAAGAAGCAGTAACCTTGATAACTTGATAAGGGGCAACCTGGATTATTCCAGAGTAGTTGACATGAATAAGGTATTCAGAATGACATACTTGATGAAATTCAGCATATGCTGAAACGGTTAAGTACTTAAGCTACTGTACTATTTTGAGTGAGAAACTGCTGAAATCTTAAAATGATAGTTTTCAACCTTGGCTGGACTTTGAAATCACTTGTAGGCCTTTAAAGCTATCCAAATGATCCTAATAAGCAGCCAAACTTGAAAACCAGTTCACATCTACTGTACAAAAATCATGAATGTCCTCAGTAACTGGTAGGGACAGAAGAGCTTGTGAATTCAACAGTAACTGCAACCAAGCTAACATGTTAAAAATTTGTCAAATAGCTTTTTTCTAATTCTATTTTTAAAAAGTTATTTTTTCCTTTTGTGGTTTTAATGACAGTAACATGTAGAATGTCTATGCTAGATTAGTAAATACTAATGAAATAGTTTAATTTCTATTGCCTATAGACTTATTTTGCAATGGGATATGTTTTTACTTATAAGAACAATTTAAAGTGCTGCCATTATATCAAACCTACTCTGATTAAGTTTTCCAACAGGGCATCTGAAAATTGCTTCCTCAAAGAGCAAAACAGGTTATCAGTACATCAAGCATATTAGTTTTGTGTACTTACAGTATTAAAGTTTTTTAAAAACTGGATGAAGAAATACTATCAGAGCTTATTCATCTTTTTACGTGTTAAAAATGCAGGGCAGAATGAAATGAAGTTCTACAACTTGTGTATGCTTTGGACTCACCTGGACAGTTTAAACCATTGCTGGGCCTCACCCTGGAATTTAATAGGTTTGGAGTGATATATGTCTGCATTTCTGTTAAGGCCCAAATGATGTTGCTGGTCTAGGAACCACATTGAAAACCATTTCTACAATTCAGCTCTATGTGGTTGCAAAATATCAAGCCTATCAACTTCACTGATTTAAAATGTATTGGAAAAATGGAAAAAATTAAAGTTGGAATAAAAAAACGTATTGGATTTCACGCCAACTCTTACTATGATTCAGTTGGTTTGATCCCCTTACCAGTTTTTTGCCATACACGTTTTAGAGATACATGTAAGCCATTCACTGTTGTTTTATAAGTACCTCATGTATTCACTTTTGTGTATCCCGTTCTCTAGTTTTAAAGTGATTCAAGATTTGTAGGCTTTTTACCAGATCACAAAAAGAGCAGGCCTAAACATTTGCTTGGTAGGTTTCTTAAGGTTAGGTTTATGATACAACCATGTGTAAAATATATTTCATCAGTTTGTGTACCCTAAAATTTGTGAACTAGATTAAATATTAAGGGCAGCATTATCACTACTCTACTCCACAAAGAACAAAACACTGGAATATTTTTCTCTGGATTCCATTTCTACTCTTGGATTTAAAATATTTTCCCACTTATGTTCACAATAAACAGCAACATCATTGCTTCCTGTTTTCTGTGGTTCTCTACTTAGAATGCAGATGTACTTAGAAAAGCCAGACACCAAAATTACAAGAGTTTTGAAAATTAGTTAATGTTACAGAAGAAACCCACTCAGGTTTGCAGCTTCTTTATCTCTGTTCAGTGTTTTACATTTAATCAAATTCTTCTATATTAATGTACAAAAACCTTTGAAGAAAAAAATCAGTCCTAACCAGGAATAGCTCATGTATGAAAAAAATTGGAGCTAATGTCATTTACTGTAAGATTGGAACATCCGAGAAAGCAGTTTTTGACCAATACCAAAGTTTATTTAACAAAAGTTCAATGTGAAAATGTACAAGACTCGATTTTTATATTGTAGTAAAACAGGAGGTGTGGAGAGGGGACATAGAAGCACGCTGATTTCTCTGGCGAACACAGCCATTCTTTATACTCGTTCCAAGGCTTCTAACATGATGATACTATTGCCTCGTATTACCTAGGAAAGAGAAAAGTAAATTTGAAAAGATCACAAATCATTTAACAGACTTACCAATCATGATTAAAGAATTTTCACCAGCCCTAACTGATAGCTCAGAGGGTTGGGCGTCGTCCTGCAAACTGGTTCAATCCTGTCAGGGCACATGTCTCGGTTGCCAGCCAGGTTCCTGGTTGGGGATAGGTGAGAGGCAACTGATTGATGTTTCTCTCCCTCTCTTGCTCTCCCCCTTCCCCTTTAAGAATAGATAGATAAAATCTTAAAAAACAAAACAGGTCAGTTCAAGCCAAACAACTCAAGTCTCAAAGGCTAACAACTACCCTTTTGAGATACCAGGTCTCCAATGACTCATTTCATTGCCTTAACTGCGGGACTCAAATAACATGAACATCACTGCCCCTAAGGTATTCATAAAGGAATGGGAAAGATAGGTACAACAGAAATATGCACCTTAGTTTATGGGGGTAAGATCATTTAGGGAACAGAACAGAATGGAAGTCGCAAAAAGCAAGCTTTATGAAGAAGGCATTTTAGATGCGTTTTGAAAATTGGGTAATTATCTGGGGGATAAGAAAAGAACCTTAATTTGCAGGAAAAGGTTCTGAAGGGAAGAGGAAACAACGATAGTCTGCACCCAATCTTAGAAGGCCTCCAACACCAATCTTAAAAGTGGAAGGGACCATGGAACCAGCAATGAACCAGTGAGTTTCAGAGTGGGAATGAACCACTGTTCTGGCACCAGCACAGTCAACCTTCGGACAGCACAGGACTTAGAGGTGCTGCCCCCGACCCTTACCATGCTTTTGACTCCCCAGTCATTCCTTGAGGGGCACTCGTTCCAGGGCCCCCTGCAGATATCAAAATCCATGGATGCTCAAGTCCCTTATATAATAATGCATACAGTTGGCCCTCCGTTATCTGTGGATTCCCAACCACAGAGAAAGTAGTTGTCGATCCACAGCTGTTGAACATGTGGATGCGAAACCTAGGGATACCGTGTATTTATTGAAAAAAAAAATCCACATATAGGTGGACCTGCACAGTTTAAATCCATGTTGTTCAAGAAGAGAACCTAGAAGAGAGCTTATAGGCCTGGAGAGAATAGAAAAGGCCTGAGGACTAGCAGTGTCTGACACAGCCATTCCATAAATGAAGATAAGCCAGGATACTTACGAGAACACAGCTGAAATGGCTGGTAACTGAGTTCAAGAGGGACAGAAACATTAAGTCAAACTGGAACGCAAGAGGTCTGAATACAGGGTTTGGCAAAAGTAGGTTTGCAGTTGTGAGTACACAAAACAGTTTATTTTTGTATTATTATTTATTATATCACTTTCCATATGAACTGTGAACCCATGTTTGCCCCACCCTGTATAAAAAGCCCCTGGTGCACTACAGATCATAATGCAATCATAGATCAGGCCAGACAGCTCAAGGAGAATGTACCTGAAAAGAAGGTTGATTTACATGAAACTTGGGGGAAACTCTTTTATCTTGATATTTTTAAGTTGTTTTTCTAGTCCTGACCATGGATTTACTTTTCAAAATGCAGTAATAAAAATATATTTGAAATAAACAGTAACACAAGTATTGGAACAAGTCACTGAAAACAAAATTATACTGCTCAAACTTAAAAAAAAAAATAGTAGAGCAAAATATCAAGTCTAACAATTAGGAACTCTTACCACCTTGTAGAAGACTTTATGCCCATGACTTGCTAAAGCTAAGCTGTCCTTTAAAAGAAAAAGAATTTATTTATTTTTAGAGAGAGCGGAAGGGAAAAAGGAAGAGAAATATCAATGTTGTGTGAGAGAAACATCGATTGGCTTCCTCTTGCACACCTCCCACTGGGGACCTGGCCCTCAAACCAGGCATGCACCCTGGCCTGGGAATTGGAACAGAGACTTTTCGGTTTGCAGGATGATGCTCAACCCATCGAGCCACACCAGTCTGGGCTAAATCGTCCAGTTTCATCCACCTTTTCCAAGAAACTTGGACTTACCACTTAGTGGATATTGGTATATTGTCCTGTGATGGACAGAGAGAGGGATTTAAAGTCTGGGTCTTGCTGGCAAACACCAAAAATTCTTCAGCTGCCATCCCACTATGGACTAATGAACGTAGAAATGTTAGCACCTATAATTAAGAATTTTTGTTTTCTTCCTAATGTGAATGACTATTATCATGACCATCTTGTAACTTTTACCTTGACTACTTTTATTTATTTTTAAATTTGTTGATTTTAGAGAGGAAGTGGGGGAGGGAGGGAGTGAGTGAGAGAGAGATACCAATTTCTTGTTTCACTTATTTATGCATTCATTGGTTGATTCTTTTATGTGCCCTGACTTGACCGAGGATCAAACCCACAGTCTTGGTGTATCAGGATGACACTCTAACCAACTAAGCTACCCAGCCAGGGCTTTTGTTGACTACTTTTAAATTTGTGTGGTAAACCAGAAGTCTAGTTAATTACATACCCAATTAAAAACAGAAGTGTGATCTGTGGACGGGCAGATCAGCATCAAATGGACACTTGTTAGAAATGCAAAATCTCAGGTTCTACCCCATGCCCACTGAATTAGGATCTGCATTTTTACAAGATCATCTGAGGAGAATTCATAAGCATATGCTTAACCTTCATACACATTACTAATTTAACAAAAACAAAAAAAAACACTAGAGAGAGATTCAATTGCTTGGGGTAGAATCTAGTTTTTGTTTTTTGGGTAAACTCGGATGACTGTAAATGCTCTATACCAGTGGTTAATCTTTGCCTTACATTAGAATCATCTGGGGAACTTAAAAAAAAAAAGCCTCTATGCTACATTCCAAACTAATTTGATTCTAAGATGCAAATAAGATGGAGAACTATTGCTCTAATAAACCCTGTGGGATTCTATTACAGAATAAAGCTAAAAAATGATTTCCAACAGACACTCCAAGCTCAATGAACTCAGAGGGTTCTGTCTAACTTAAAGGTAACTGGGATATCATCACAGGTGAATGACTCCCAAATGTTAAACTTGAAGATGGAAAGTCTGATCTTGCCTATAATTCACCTAACATCAGTTTAATTCAAGACTTTGACAGAAGGGAAGTTATTGCTTAGTCCAAACAAAAAATGAAATCTCACATCTTTACTTACCACCATTCCAATATTGTTCTGTTGCCCACTTGTTGCCATCTCCACACATTCATCTATCACAAGGTTCATAAAGGGATCAAATCCCCGCAGTATTCCTTGGACATGCCTGCCACCATTTAATTTCACTATAAAAAAGGGAAAAATAAGTTTTAATAAAACTGGCTATTAACTATCAAATACTCATTAAAAATTAGGTGGAATAAAACCCAGGTATATGAGATGTATAATCCACTATCCTTACTATATGCCAAGCACTGGACTATTTTACATTTACTTCCACATTTAAAAGTGTAAGAATCCTATAAAGTAGAATTATCCTTTTTATGAGGGAACCAGAATGTATAAAAGACTTTTGAGTAACTGGTTCAAGGTTATACAGCTACTGTGTGGTAGGGCTGGGATTCAAACTGAATGAAGGCTGCTTGCCCATCTCTAAAGCCATGATCTTAACCCATACAAACTTCAAGAATTGTGTGGGTCAGGTTTTTAGTCCTTGTGTATGTCCTTTGTTTTTAAAAAAGGATAATAAATGTTCAAATATGACAAAATAGGATAATCCTGTTAATTCTGTGACAGTGAGGGTTACCTTATACAAAATTATGAAGTGTCTGAAGTTAGGTGAAATTTATTAAATTTCAAAAATTAGGTAAATAAAACCGTCTCGTTAGGATTTTGCTCAATCTGCTTAATGAATGTGAATTACAGGCTCTGTATGCTTTGAATCTTTATAGAGCTGCTCCAAACATTGCACACTGACATGTGTAAAAAGCAACTGAATAATTAGAAACAAAAAATAAAACTTACATGATAACTTCTTGTCCATAAATCTGAAAAAGCAAAGGGATAAAGGTTATATAACTGACAAAAAATTTACTCATTTTTATAAATAAGCACAAAAGTAAGTATATACTCAATTATGTAATAGTTTGCTAGTCAATATAATTTGCTAAAATTATATTTACACAATAGGAATAATGAAATTTAAAATAGTAAAAACCATGTACTGCTCTAAAAGATGAGGGAGTGGTATGCTACCTCAGTTTATACTTATACAAAGCAATGTATAAGTATTACTTACACATTGGGAAGGGGCAAGATAATCAGTAAAAATGGAATGGGCTTATATTAATATACATTGAGTTTTTATACCATGTGAATTACAAAAACATTCTTGTTTGATACTGATCTAATTTTCAATGGCTGGGTTTTACACAACAGAAAAACAAAGGTTTGATTATATTTTGGTTATTTCCAAACCAAACAAAATTGTGAAGAAATCAGAAGTTTTAACCAAACCACATCCAATCCAACATCTATTTTTAAAATTTTATATTTGAGACAGTAAGTATTGTTTTATTTAATATTATGTTTTATTCTTTAACACATTAAGTATATTCTAGCAAAATAAATGCATATTTTGAAGCTTTAAACAATTTAAACAAGAAAATCCCATCTCAGCAGAGTACTATGAAAATATTAAGCTGTGTAGTCAAATCAAGTTTTTACCTCTTCCAGTTATAGGCCAGAAAACAAGAAATTTCATTCAATTTTAATGTATAAGATAGCATGTGAGAATTCAGAGATTAGAAAGACTAGGGACCTGACAGAAGGTACAGGAAGAAACATTTACAAATAAAATATCTATAAAGTATAAAATAAGCTATTTTAGTAAGATATATTACAGAAAACACTGCAAATATAACACACATGGGCTTACTTAATCCTTGTGACAACTTTGTAAGTTATTACTAGTATTACCACCATTTTATAGATGGGGAACTGGGGCTCAGAAAGGTTAAGTAACTTGTCCAAAATTACATGGCAGATGAGAAAGTCTGAACAAACACAATTGGTTCCATTTGGCTGGAGAGGAGGGCACTCAAATATTAGTGTAATATTGGTGGTTGGATTTGATATGGAGGAGCCTGAATGCTGGGTGAAGAAGTCTCGACTTTATTATGCAGACAGCAATAAATTATGAAAGCAGCCAATTATTCTGAGACTACCGTGGCAGCAATTTTTAAGTGGTGGGAGGGAGAATTTGGTTCTACCAGGTTATCTCAACCTCAGTAACTGACATTTGGGGCTAGGTAATTCTTTGTTGTTGAGGGGTGTCCAGGGCATTGTTGAATATTTAGCAGCATCCCTGGATTCTACCCACTAGATGCTGGTAGAGCCAGACTCCCTACCCATCCAGTTAAGAACCACGGAGTTATGCTAAATCAGGAGGGGGGTATAAAAGTGTAAAAGATGGTATTTGTGAGAAAGTAAAAGAAAAAATTTAAAAGTCATTTTGGAGGCAGATCTGAAAGGATTCCACAATTCATGAAATCTAGAGATGAGAAAGGTGTTAAAACTAGTTTCATTCTCTGAAATTTTCAAATAATATGTTAAGAACCAAAAAGGAAATCTAAGATTATGAGTAACGAATGGTCCTTTTGTTAGATTTAATATGATTTCATCAGTTTCTGAGGAATTCAGAGGATACTTACAAGATTACTGGCTCACCAATAAAAGAATAACTTCCAGATAAACATTTTCATAATAATTTTTATTTTTCTTAACGTGAGGCTTATGATTTAACAATTAAGTCTTCAACCGATCCAACTAAAATAGTTTTTTGCACAAAAGGTGGCTTTGATACTAACGTGCACTTCAATGCAAAATTATTAAATATGAACTTTTCCTTTAGTCCAACTTCTTTATGGGGTGGAAGAAATAAACTATAGGCAAAATAGACCAAATGGCTGCCTCACAAAATGGTCACCTGATGAATTTTGCATCCTTTGCGCTATCCAACCACCACATGCAGAATTCTGGCATTACATGGTATAAACATGATAGAGAAGTAGGTACTTAGGAGGCAAGGAAATATCGGACCCTATCTAAAAGTAGGAATATCTTACTTTGAATTGCTGAGGGGAAAAAAGTCCTCATATAGCTCTGCTATCAGAGCAAGACATCACACGACATTCAAATATAACGTTAAGTAGAAGAAAGCAAGAAAAAGGAATGGAATTTCCAAGTCAAAGTTCAAAGAAACAGTACAAACACATTCTTAAGATTAAGGTGGCTTTTGATTTCTCATATACTATTAAACACTTCCATTTAACCCACATCGTTAGTTTCTTATGGAGTTAGTCTACAGCCACCTGATGTAGAATAGGATGTTATATAAGATAGTCAACAAAGTGTAGGATTTGAGATCCTCAAGTAACGGGAGAGATGTAGGGTCCGGAGCTTCGGCTAGGTCAAGACGGCTCAATACAAGAACCACCGTGGCCTTGGGTAACCATGCCGACCAAGGAGAAAAGCAACAACTGCGCGGGTTTCCAGCCCAAAAGAGCAGGACCCACGTTGGGATCTTGGAGGCCTCGGACCCGAGTACGCACGCCACGCGCACTGACCGGAAACGGAGGGGAATTGAAAGAGCTTAAGGCATACAAAGAAGCTGCCAACAACCCGCGGCCCTCGAACATACTTACTTTTTTAGCTCAGGAGGGTGAGCTTTGCTCATAGTGTCTGTTCAGCGAGATCAAAGATACCTCCGAAAGAAATTCTTAGCCTCTTACGCTCCCGTGGTAGGCCCAGAGTTTGGCGTCTGGTGTCACCGATCCCCTTAGCCAATCGATTGCCGGCAGCTTTCACATTTCACCTCGCGATACTTGGGGAAGCCTGAGCGTACCATCAGCCCCGAGCTTCCGGTTGCGTCGCCAGCGATTGGCCAGAATGGAAGGATTGAGCCTCCGGGTGTTCCTAATTCCATTTCCTCTTCTGTAACGCTGAGATACCGGTAAATGTCCCGAGTCCAGCTTCCTAACGGCACCGTTCAAGTTCTAATCTTAGTGGGTCGAATCGTTTCTTATTCATATATAGTAAATGAAAATAAGCTCTAGAGAAGTGGGACCATGATAGTTCTTTGGAATGTATTCTCACAGCTTATTGTCATTTTAAGCTTGGGGTTTCATTAACAACTCAAATATTGACCGCTGCACCAAAGAGTCCGGTAACAGAGCCTCAGCTTTCAAGAATTTTAATCTAGAGCCTGGAAGTACATTTCCAGCTGATGGTCTTGATAGTCTTGTAACAGTGCCTCCAGATCCACACTTAAATGTAAAATGTACCTTGATTCTAAACGTCAAACATTTAGTGCAGCACACACACTGTAATATGAGGTATTGATTTTCAGGTCAAGAGCGTAAGTGTAAAAAATGGTTTCTGACTTGCTCTCAGTTAAATTACCCAAAACAGGGGAATCCGCATTTATGAATCAAACACAATAGAGATTACAGAAGACTTGGGCCAAAGTAGAAAAGCCTTGGTAATTCTAAGCATTGGATAGTTCTCCAAAATTGAATTAATTCCTGATGTTCAGGAATGGCTCCACAGGGGTGGGCAAAATTAGATTTACAGTTGTGAGAATGCAAAATAGACTTTTTGAATGAACTGTAAACTACTTTCGCTAATCCCTGTATTTAAATGATAGTAAAGACTTAATTAAACTAATCATGTATTTTGTATTCTCTTCGTACCCCAAATCCTAGGCATTGCATACTCTCTAGAGGGGTCATAGCTGTATCTTTTCTACTTCTTGCTGTTAGTCTTTAGCTGAAGCTAGAAACCTGACATAGATACTTAATTAATTTTTTTAGACTTATAGACAGTTTCCATCTTTTTACATTAATGAACTTCAAGTAATATTGCCCTAGTCTGCCCTTGAAATTTTTCCCATTTACAATGAACATGTCCTGCATCCAAACCATAACAGACTTGTATAACTAACTTTCATTCTTTTGGATGTCTTAAGAAACTTATTTCACACATTAAAAAGAAAAGCATCCTTACAAAGTTATATATTCACTGCCCAAATATAAGAAACACAATAGTGGAGGAAAAACTAAACCTTATTTATTTTTTAAAACCAGACCACTAGGAAAATGTATCATAGTCCTGAAACAGCAAACAAAAAGTCTGTATTACCATTTCAAGTAATAACTTGGTAAAAAGACAACAAGGTTCTTATCAAAACGGTAAGGTGCCAGAGCTGGGGTTGGAACACTGCATATTGCAAAGCCCCAAGGCAAAAGTGGTATTTGGTAATGGTGGTGGTAGGGGTGGAGGGGTGGAAGGAGGGGCAGCCCCTCTTTTGTTCTAAAGGAGCCACAGCTCACCTGAGTTGCTTACTTTTTCTACCTTGACCTTCTTGTTGCCAAAGGATTGTCTCAGTAGGGCTCTGTTATTTTAGGGTGCTAATTAAGCAATACTGGGGTCACGTTTCATTCCTGAAAACCAGGTTTTTCCAAATCCAGTACTTCATAACTCTCTTAATTAAGCAGTCAACAGTTCCTCTTTCATTGTTCATTCTTGGGTATTGGGGTATAGCACAATCAAAACCCCTTTTCCCTTTAAGGTAGAGTACCACTGCAAGATTGTCCTGTCACTTTGCTGCAGACCTCCTTAGGGCCCATCACCGCAGGCAGTGAGAGGTCTGCTTCCCATACCCAGTGACATTGCCCCTCATGTTTTTGGAGGGTCTTCAAGCTGAAAGATGTAGTGTGTGAAAACTTAAGAAGTGTGCATCTACATCTTGGTGGACAGAAATAGATATCCAAAGGAAGCTTTCAAAGTTCTTATCCAAACTACCTCTTCCAACTCCACATCTTGTCAACTTCATGCCCTTGTATATAAAACAAAACCAAGCAAAACTAATACCCAGAAACCATTTTTCCCTTCTAAATTAGTGACCTCATGAATTTTGTTTTACAGCTTACAAAAAATGGTGTGGTGATGCTTCTGGTAAACAGGAGGTTGGCAACAGATAGAAACACCTCTTCTCGCATACCACTAGATCATTGGCAGGTCAGAGGAACCTGTCAGCCTGTTGATATCTCAGAGAGCTCTGGCTTGGTTTGAGGGAAATACCTGTTGTCAGGATAAGCATTTACCACGTAAAAATTAGGCTCTCAAAAACTCTGTGACCCAAATTTTAGCACCAGTTTTTTTTCATTTCACTTTCTAGGATTAAAACACAAAAGAATCAGTGTCCAGAGGCAAGTGACACATGCCTTAACCTTGCTGCCACCCTTAATTTCTTCATTCATACACTTTGCTTAAAAGACCAAAATTCTCATTCTTCATTTTAAATAGATTCCTGCCCTCAGCCTCAATGGCCAATGGCAAAGGCTTCTATTTCTGAATGGATGAGAGAGACTCCTTCATCTTCTTAGTCATGGTTGGAATGAGGTTCAAATGGTCATCCACACACTTGGTCACACAGCTCTCCAGCTGCCGCTTCACCTGAAGCTCTTTACTCCCTGCATCTATTGAATCTTTGGCTTTGTCATTGCAATGCATGGTGCACCGTGCCAGGCGGTCCTGTGGTGAGAAGGAAGAGGAGAGAGAAGGCTGAGAAACTGGCCTTCATTTACCAAGTGCTTATCATGCACTGGGTCCTGTGCTATATACAGTTAAGTCTCACTTAATGTCATCATGGGATTGCAGCAAAACATGTATGATGAAACCAAATTTACCATGGCTAATTGATATGAAAGAGCTACATTCCTATGGTATCTTTGTTATAACAAAATGGTATTATTTGAGGATCTTCTGTGTTTTGGCTTGACATGTATTATCTTAATGAATTAAAGGACACTAGTAAAATTAACCAAGATTATCCTGCTTGAAACAGAGAGTGGCATCAGGAGAGCCCAGACAAGGCATTACTAGAAACGAAATGAATGACAGAATTGTACAGAAGCCCGTTCCAGGAAGTGAGAAGTAACTAAAGGCCAGTTACTCAATTACAAAAAGACCTACAAACATCTTGATTATTACTTAATGTCTGCCCTAGCTATAGAAAAACACTCAACAATTACTTATTGACTATCTACTATGTGCCAGGTACGCTTTTTCTCCTTCTTTTTAAAGATTTTATTTATTTATTTTTAGAGAGAGCGGAAAGGAGGGAGGAAGAGAGGGAAACACCAATATGAGACAGAAACATCGACTGGTTGCCTCTCGTAGGTGCCTCAACCAGGGAGCAAACTTGCAATCCAGGCATGTGCCCTGACCGGGAATTGAACCTGCAACCTTTCGCTTTGCAGATGCCCAACCAACTGAGCTACACAGGTCAGGGCTATGTGTCAGGTACTCTTCTAATGGGGGGATATACCAATGAGTAAAACAGATAAGGTTCTTGCCTCCATAGAACTTACATTCCAGTAGGGGAAGACAGACCAACAGAACAAATAAGTGGAGATGTTGAGGGAACAATTGGATACATGAATTTGGAGACCAGGAGTGAAGCTGGTCTAGAGATATGAAAATAGGAGTTGTCAGCATATAGATGATAATTACAACCATGAGACTAGAGAACTAGATAGAAAAGAGGAAAGGTTCAAGGACAGCCCTGGGCACTCCAATGTTCAGAGGTTGGAAAGTGGAAAAGCCAGCAAAGGAAGCCATAAAAGGATGGCTAGGAAGAGAGGTGGAAAACCAAGAAAGTGAGATGTCCTGGTAGACAACTAAAAGTGTTTCAAGGAGGGGAAGAGTGATCCACTGTGTGAATTATGCAGATAGGCTGAGTAAGATGAGGAATGAGAAATGACCACTGGATTTAGCCCTATGGAGGGGAAGGGCAAGAGCAGTTCTGGCACAGTAGAATAGTTAAGTCTGACTGGATAGGACTGAAAAGTGAATGGAAGGAGAAAAGTTTTATAGCAATTCAAGAATCAAAATTTCAAAGACCCTATTTAGAAAATTAGGTGTCAAAATAAACACAAAGAAACCCTTTGGAGTTCCATGATTTTGGAGAAGTTATTCCTTGTCAGTAATTTTAAAGAATTTTGTATAGCAGAATGTAAAAATGTATCATATTAGATAAAATTTTTCCATGTGAACAGAATCCCAGGCTATGAAAAACTGCTTCAGGAGTGGGCCCTGCTTCCCCCAAGTTCCAGAAAAGTTACTCAGGGAAGAGAGTAAAATGACATTTTGGCTGCCCCTTGCTCAAGACGGATGGGGGTGGAGGTGGCTCTTTGTGACCTCCGAAAGGCTAGTGAGGCAGGCATCAGAGAGTCAACAGTAATAACGATTCATATAAATGATGCTCTTTAGTGACATGTGGGCTGCCCTCCGGGTGTGGCAAGTAGGGTCAGTCCTGGGTGGTTATGTCCACAGAATGATGATAGGATCTTGCTCTAATCTGTGCCTTTTTAAGATCTATCTATTCCACTTTCCTGGGGATTCTGCTATTGTAAAATTGAATTAATATGTGTTTTAGAAAGCTTTATACTATACAGTGTGTCTGTATATATATATATCCTGTTATGTATAGAATATATTCACACATATATGTATGTGTGTAAATACACACACACACACACACACACACACACATATTCTGTTAACTACAAAAAAACCCCCAAAAAACAAAACCCTGTAAAGCTCTTCGTCATAAACTCCCTTGGTAACTTATTGTTTCTATGGGAAATACTTGCAGTACTCAATCTCCAGGACCTTTCCAAAATTTCAAATTCTGTCAAGTGGTCACAGCATTATCACCGATGTTAACAAAATCAAGACACTAAAGCCCAGAGTTTTGTAACTCATGTTTGTCACCTTCAAAAGAGGAACATCAAGGACTAGAATCCTCTTTCTGGGATATTCCTCACCTGGAACTTCTCCAACTCGCTGGTAACCAGGGCCTGGGCTTGAGCCAGAGGCCCATGGCAGCGCTCAATGCATTGGTGCACTTGCTGCATGGACGCCTGGCTGTCCTCGCAACAGCTAGCACTGCACCGGAACATGAGGCCCTGAGGAGGGAGGGCAGAGAGAAGTCAGATAGGGAGAGCCCCAGGGACAGAGATGACCTTGGAGTGCTACAGGGCTTGGGAGGAGCCCCTCCCATATTTGCACCTCTCCTTAGACTAGACATCAGGATCTTAAGACCGCGAATGGGAAAATTATCCTCAGTGCCTCACAGAGTGATTCCTGGCTTTCTTGCTTCTGGTTCGGTGTAAACTGTTGCCTACTGGGCTGGGTGGAGGGGAAAGGCAGCGGTGGGTCAGATGAAGCCAAAATCTTAAAACCACGTGCCTATACCACAGGGTTCAGAGGTCGGATATCTAGCAATCTATATTCCAAAAGAGGGGAACCCATCAATGAGAAAGGGCACTACTACAAGGGGAACCCATAATCCTTTTCGGGAGACAGGACCAAAAGACAAAACATTTAGAGTATCAAAGCAGAAGAGCGTATAAACCAATGCTCTGTAGCGCAAAGAACTGGACATGAATGACCTGGCCATTGAGGAGGCAGAGCACTTTTGCCTCTCTTGCCCTTCACCTTGGCTGTCCTCTTTCAGCCTCGGGCTCCTCATATGCAGAAGCGGCCAGGCAAGAAGGGAGGGTGGGGCCTCAAACCAGGGGCTTTCTAACCCTGGTCCGGGGACACCCCTGACCCCTGTGATGGTGTGGGTGACAACGGCCTTGAGTGTTTCGAGGACGCACAGATTTCATCCTCTCAGCCAAAGTTCTAGAGTTTCTGAGGGCAAAGCCTGCTTCAGAGGGCGCCGCGGTTACCCCAGGGACACCCCAACCTGGTTCTGCGGGCGAGGGCAGGCGGCCCAGGACATCGCGCGAGGGCTTGGGAGGTGTCGGGAATCGCGGGAAGGGGCCGGGAATGCCAGACCGACGGGTTTCCCCAGAGTCGGCTCCCGCCCGGCTACCTGCATCTTCCGGATATTCTCTCTCTCCAGACTCTTCACCATGGAGTCCACCGCCTCCTGAACTCGATGATGCTGCAGGTCCGCCATGGCGACCCCGCAGTGCACCGGCGCCGCAACGGTGTCCACATGGACTCCGTGCCGGGGCCCGCCCCCTCGCCGCCGCTTCCCGGGTCACCGTGGCAGGTTCTTCCCCTGCCCACGCCGCCGCCTGGCGTCTGAGAGGAGCAACTGCAGGCTGGGAGGCCGCTGTGCCGCCTCCCAGAGTCGCCTCCCCACAACCCTTCAGCTTAGTTGGTGTGTAACGCACCATAGCAGCCTTCCCGCAGGGGCGGGCTCTTTCCCCTATCTCTGCACAGGTACGAGGTGCGCACTGCGACCGCCTTTCTTTCTCTCCTTCCTTCCTTCTAACTCAACACATTTTTAATACGTATAATTAACATACAGAAAAATGATCAGACCTTAGCTATACTGCTTAATGAATTTTAACAAACCTGCTCTTTCTCTGTCATTTTTCCCCCTATGCCCTCACCTCTTACGCCATGTTTTCTGCTTTCTGTCACTACGGTTACATTTTTCCTTTCTGGAATTTTTTAAACATTAATTTTTTAGCACTGCCCCTCCCCCCAGCATTTCCCCCTCCTTAGCGCATGTCCATGGGTCCTACATATAAGTTATTTGGCTTCTCCATTTCCTATGCCAGTCTTACCCTCCCCCTGCCTATTTTGTACCTACTATTTATGTTTCTTATTCCCTGTACCTTTTCCCCCATTCTCCCCTGTCTCCTTCCCCTCTGATCTCCATTTCTATGATTCTGGTCCTGTTCTAGTTGTTTGCTTAGTTTGCTTTTATTTTTGTTTTTAGGTTCAGTTGTTGGTAGTTGTTAAGTTTGTTTTCATTTTACTGTTCATAGTTTTTGATCTTCTTCTTACATAAGTCCCTTTAACATTTCATGTAATAAGGGCTTGGTGATGATTAAATCCTTTAACTTTACCTTATCTGGGAAGCACTTTATCTGCCCTTCCATTCTAAATGATAGCTTTGCTGGATAGAGTAATCTTGGGTGTAGGCCCTTGGCTTTCATGACTTTGAATACTTCTTTCCAGCCCCATCTTATCTAAAAGGTTTCTTTTAAGAAATCAGCTGCTAGTCTTATGGCAACTCCTTTGTAGTAACTCTTCTTTTCCCTTGCTTTTAAGATTCTCTCCTTATCTTTAATCCTAGGTAATGTAATTATGACGTGCCTTGGTGTGTGCTTCCTTGGGTCCAACTTCTTTGGGACGCTGAGCTTCCTGGATCTCCTGGAAGGCTATTTCTTTGGCCAGATTGGGGAAATACTCCATTATTGTTTTTGAATAAGTTTTCAATTTCTTGCTCTTTCTCTTCTTCTGGCACCCCTATGATTTGGATGTTGGAATGTTTAAAATTGTCCCACAGGTTCCTAAGGCTCTCCTCATTTTTTTGAATTCTTGTTTCTTCATTCTGTTCTCGTTGACCGTTTATCTCTTCCTTCTGCTCCCAATCGTTGATTTGAGTCCTGATTTCCTTCCCTTTACTGTTGGTTCCCTGTATATTTTTCTTTGTTTCACTTTGCACAGCCTTCGCTTTTATATCTTGGCTGGAAGTCTCATTCTTTCTAGAATTTTATGTACAGGGCAGGCAAAAGTAGGTTTACTGTTGTTTATATGGAAAATAATACAATAATTAATAAATAATAATACAATAGTAAACTCTGTGTTTCACATACTTACAACTGTAACTCTTTTGCTCATCCATATATGTAATTCAGTATGTTCTCTTTTTGTGCCTGACTTTGTCACCTAGCATAAGCCATTGAGATCCAGCTGTGTCATTGATTGCTGTTTGTTGTGGAATGGTAGTCCATTAAACGGACATAGCACAATTTGTTTTTTTCTGTTCCCCTGTTGACATCCAGTTACTTGCTATTATGGATAAAGTGGTAAGTGTGAACATTCTTGAGCATTTGTAGACATAAATTGCCATTGCATTTTGGGTAAATACCTCAAAGTGGGATTGTTGGATTGTTGGTAGATGTATGTTTATGCAGTTATTCTAATAAAATATTAGCCTCAAAGGGAATTCAGAAGCTACAGATATTCAGTCGACAATGGAGCATTTCTATGCCAGCAACAACCACCTGTTTCTGAGTTCCTGGAGCAGTTCTATCTGGAATACCTTACCTTCCACCATCAACTTTACTATCCAATGCATTCACATATTAAACACATATTGGGCCATGGCTGGGTAGCTCTGTTGGTTAGAGCATCGTCCCATACCCCAAGGTTGCAGGTTTGATCTCCAGTCAGGGCACATACACGAAGCAACCAATGAATGCATAAATAAGTGGAACAACAAAATTAATGTTTCTCTCTCTCTCTTTCAAAAAAATCAATAAATTGAAAAAAACCCTCCCACATATTGGGTTGCTGCCAGATATGAGCTAGGTAGGGGTAAGAGTCCACAGGGGAGCATCAGTGAAGTTGAAGGAGGCAGACACAGGCAAGGTTGGAAGAGAGGTGCCATGGGAGTGGTCCAGGGCAGGCAGGAAGGAGGTGAGTGGTTCAAGTGCCTCAGAAAAGCTTTCTTAGCAGGGATGGATAGGTGTTTGCCTAGCACACAAGAAGTGAGGAGAATGCCATGCCAAGCACGGGGAACTGCTGTGAACAAAACTGTGATAAAGCTTTAAACTTTGGGGGAAGCCAAGTGATTCTGCTGACTTGGATCCTGGAGTAGAAAAGGAGTTGGGGGACACAAGGAAAGGGGCTCTGACATTGGGAATTAGGCATTTGCTGTCATTGGGCACTAGATGGAAGGAGAACTCTGGTTTGAGGGCCGGGGGAGGTTTGACTCAACCTACAGCCCTTTGAAGAAAGCTGCTTTCTGGATGGACCCAGAGGGTGTTATGCTAAGTGAAATAACTCAGTCAGAGAAAGATAAATACCATATGATTTCACTTATATGTGGAATCTAACAAACAATATAAATGAACAAACAAAACAGAAACAGATTCATAAATACAAAGAACAGAAAGTACAGCATAGGAAATGTAGTCAATAATATTGTAATAATTATGTATGGTGCCAGATGGGTACTAGAAATATCAGGGGAACACTTTGTTTAATCACTATGATATACACCTGACATTAGTACAAAATAATACTGAATATAAACTATAATTGAAGAATGTTGGGGATCACTTTGTGTAGTATCGGGAATGTAGTCCTGCCCGAGCCAGGCCTTGAAAAAGGGCCTGTAAGTCTCAACCAGAAAATTGGGAATGCCGGGGGACGGGGAGCGGGGTGGGGGGTGGGGGGCAGATATGATCTGATGCTCTCATGGAGAGTTCCCATGGGAAATCTGGCCTAAAGAATGCATTGTATCCACTGAAGCTTGCTCTGCTTTGCACTGCCCTGATAAGGAAAAATCAGATGTTTAAGCTCCACACAGAAGGAGTGCATTTATAAATTCAGGAGCCATACCTTAACGATCATCTGAAGTCAGCATGTCTAACAGACCCTGACCTGAGGCAAATCTCTGAGTACCTTTAATTGTTATCTATGATCTCTATCTGTTTTCTGTAAATACAGCCTTTAGGCATTGATTGATAAGCTTTGCATGCCCGCCCTATGCCTCTGCACATATTCTCAATAAAAAGCCACGTCAGAGAAGGGCTCAGGGCGTTCTCCACTAGTGGGAATTGCCTTCCCCTTTTCCTGACAGCACTTGGTGTCTGCAACGACTTGTTATTTCAGACTTGTTATTTCATCCGCAGTGAATCTGAGGACTCTGCAGGATGGGGTCCTCCACATCTGAAGAAAATAAAAATTAGTAAAGAAAAAGAAAGCTGCTTTCTTCAAGCACTAGGCCCTCTGTAGCCTAAGTTCTGGTAAAACTCCTGGACACCACTTTTCAGGGTTTGAGACCTCCTTTCCACTTCAAGCCAGACTAGGGGTGGCTCTAGCAGCCACTGGAATCATGGTGACACCAGCTATTACTACAATGTGCCAGGCACTGTTTTAAGTGCTTTACATGGATTATCTCATTTAATTCCCACAACAATCTTAAGGTAGGTACTTTGTTATCCACATTTGTCCCACTCAGGAAGAAAATTGAGGCCTAGGGAAGCAAAGCCACCTGCCAAGGGTTGCACATTTAGAAGCATGAATTGGTGGAGCTAGACTTCCAACCTGAATAAGCCAACTCCAGACTTTAGCTGTAGAAAGCTCTGCCATGACTTAATGTTTCTACTTATGTCTCCATATTCCACTAAGAGGTCTTTCTTCTTTATAGCACAATCGGAAATTCCTCATTTCCCCCCTTATTCCTTATGGCAGACTGAATCTCTTCAACAAGCCTTGCTTGTAGGAACCCAGTTAAAATGAATTTAAACTTCCTTAAGTAATGCAACCTTGTTAATTTGTGTACATGCAATAAATGGTTCTTTAGTATTAATGATAAATGATTCCAGCTGCAGTTAACTTTGTAAACCTAATGGGAATTATGGTAGAATCAGATTTTGGTATCATTTTAGGAAGTTCAGATACCTGGTTGCATACTTGTATCCTGGTGCTTTGGCAATAGGAAATGAGGTTTCAGGGTCTGAGATCTTGTGTGGTTCAAGCAACGGCCGACGACGGCTGACTGACGCACTGGGAACAGGTCAGGATCTGGGCGGTCAGTTATTTAGTCTGATTCCCTCCTCTCCTCCCCTGCAGGCCATGCTGTGAACTCAGATCCTGGCCCGGGGCAGGGGTGGCTCAAATGTGGATGGAATCCTTTCAGCTGCTCTGCCAGAGACAAACAATGGCAGTAAACAGGATTCTTTCTCATTAACTTATATTCAGATATGATAGGAGGAGGAGACGTTTACTCATTGCTGCCACTTTGTCTAAACTTCAGGTTTAGCAATGGGTGACAGCTAGAATACACCAAGCTTAGTTGAAGAGCTCCAGATGAGCCTTTATGGATCAAATTCATAATTTGAAATGCAGTTCTTATGTTAATACTTTCTAGTTATGATATTCCTTGGTAGATTAGGAAGGCTTGCTGGGGGGGGAAAAAACCTCCCAAACAACACCGTTTTCTACATAATGAGGAATTCAACTTTTTGGAAGTCACAAAAACTTATATTTTT